AATATAGTTGAGTCTGTCAGTAGAGAGCCGTATTGTCAGTTTCGATGAATATATATTTTTTTTATCCCGCTACTATAGCTAGCGCACATGTGCAATTTACTGATGACATTTTGGCTGAAAACATCGCGAGTTACGGGGAGAAGAGTGGGAGAAGAGGGTCACTCGTAGCGCTGCTGCTTTATTAATTCATGATAAACCGAGCAAAGCGCGTCGATCGAAGGCAAGGCGCTGGCTGGGAGCGGGCTCCCCAGGGCGGCTCTCCGATTTGTCAGGTTAACGAGACGCCGCGCGTGATCACATTTCCAGGCGGACCAAACCTTGACCCTGCCCGAGGGAGGTCGTTGAGCATCACCCATGATTTCTCTTGGTAAAGACTCCAGAAATAGTGTCTTAAGTTCGCCTCAGCTGCGACGCCTCCAGGGCATGAACCATGTGAAAGTAGTAAAACATTCATCTCAAAGACACAAAACTGCTCTACGGTTGGACTTCCACCATCCAATGTTTATAATTCAGTCCACACATAGCAAGGATCACATCGCACAAATGTATCTTGTCATAAAGCGTATCTGCCTGTATGTTATTGCTGTCAAGCAGCATGGGCCACGGTGTAATCTACAGCCAGTGTAAGAGAGAGTAGCAGATTGAAGACCTCTGCTGAGGCTGCAACGATCGGAGATTGAAGACCATTGCTGAAGCTGCGGATGAGCAGGAAAGGTTGATACTCTAGTTGGGCATTAGAGACAACATGGTAACATGTATAGATGGTAGTAAATAATTCAAGAGGGAAAGACGTCCGGCCGGGTGACCTTGACTCTGCACGTTATGTTCTATCATCATCAGAGGTGTTCATAGATATCAATGTTGTAATTCGTTTAGCCTCAGACAGGCTGTATAACATGAGAGGCTTGAAAACTGTACAGGCACTGCGATCACTCTCCAGTATCTAGAAATACCAGTTTGTAGATTATACCTGATACTAGTTTTATCACTGTGATGATATCGTTGTCTATTTATCTGATGCGAATATTATTAATAAAACCATGAATATACCCTAAACAAGACGATTTGTCTGTTTGAGCCATTCTTGATGGCAATATACCATATTATTTGATACATTAAAGAAAATGGCTTTAGAAGCGTTTTCGTTGTCGAATATTATGTTAATTTAGATTTACATATTTTGTTACTAAATTGATGATATATGATGTATATGAGTAAGTGTTCAACATAATGGGTATACGTGTGTTGTGTGAGTTCCATATCTACTAAACGGACCACCTAAAATGACCTATGTAACTTGTTTTCGGAGAATTTATCTTTTGAAAACCAAGCACGCAATGGATGTGGTTAGGTTCTTTGGGTTGAAAGAGAGCCATGGTACCCAGAATACAAATACATTCCCAAGTGCAGTTGCAGTTGATACCTTTGAACGGCGGCAACTAAAGCACACAATAAACGGAACCTGAGCCCCGGGATGTCCTATGAAAGACTTTTGTGTGTATTTCATCGCATCCGAATGACCTTCGTGGGGTTTCTGTGACATCGATTATATCCAGGGTAATAAGGAAGCTGACAGAGTGATTGATCAACATATAACCCAGTGGACTGACCTGAAATTGAGTTTCGGAAACTCCGTGCTATTTCCGGTCTTGCCGGATCTTTATCGAGAGCCATTCTAGAAGGAGAAACGAGGGCATGAAAGGCATCCAATGCGATTTCAGAGCAGCAAAACTGGAATGTTCTGAATAAGGCAATCTTTATGATATTGACACATACTGCTTTACATTAGCACATTTCAATCAGTATTTCATACTTTGGGTATTTAAAACTGCAGAAGCAAGCCCCAAGATGAATCATTTATTTTCTGGGTGGTACCCTAAATATCAGACAAGGGCCCTTCCAGTAACCATTTTCCGTCAGAATTTTGGGAATTTTTACTCCACGAGGGTCAATATACATTGGGACTGTGTGGTTTCAACTCAGTATGTAGATAAAGGACTAGAATGGTGACTTTTGAAAAATCGGGTTTCCCAGCCCTAAAAACTGCACCGGATGCCTTTAAGGACAGTGAATTCGAGCTTTCCTTTATGTTTCCTCCGACTTGCTTCTTTTTTTTACTTCGCTATCTAGCAATGATACTAGAATTTTTAAATTTGAATGGTAAATACTTGTCCTTTACCTAGTATGTATTGACATTGACCGGACACAGCACGTCGTCTTCTGAACACGTTAGTGGAATGCAGAGTGAGGAAGATCGAGTCACAGTGACTCAAATACGTCTTCCCATGCTCCCTAGGTAGTGTCTACCGTTCCCCATGAGTGCTCAATCTCGTGGAATCTCGTTGGATGTCTGAAATCTTCGAAGCGAGAGTGTCTATGAATAACAAGTGGCGTCTCCAGCCTCCGCGGCAGATCCTCTCAAATTGCATCGTGAATCCTCCTGGCAGGCCCGAGCTGTCTTCTCCCACATCCGTTATCTCTGGATTATTTTCTCGACTTGTGAATGTCAGGTTGGATGCGGAAGACTTTACCTTCAATTATCATGCTTTACGTATAATGATGACCGGATTTGTTACAACCATAGTGGCCCTTGCAACGTCACTTAAGTTATCAAGAACCATATATTTGATAGATATGTATTAAATATGTATACCTCACACTTTATACTTCATACTTATTATTTATATAAAAGAGAAAGAAACGTTAACTATAAAGGTAACATTTGCAAAGCAAATGCATAATGTTTACCTTCGCATATGGTCTGCTCTGTTAATTCTTACTCAAGCACATTCACATAAATGGACATGAATCTAAATCCCTCCTACTATAAAATTGCAGCATTATGCAACCCAACACCAGTTATCATGGTGAGAGCCAATCTGGTCATTGCCCATGTCAGAGGTCAGTGTTTGGAACGGAAGAAGAAGAAGCGTAGCAAAAACAATATGTTTTCCTTCGGTAAACATAATCAAAGTTGAAGATATTAATTATCAGAATATTCAAATTGGGAACGGAAAAGAACAAAATATTTATGCCCTTTCACAAGTGTGTCTTTCATAATGATTATGCATAAAGGCAAAGTGATTTTATTCCTATCTAGATCTTGACGCACATGTGCTACTTTTAGAGTCCGGGAGGAAATTGTGTTTTAACAATGGTGTTCTCTGAGATAAGAAGACTAAGTAATCCTTTCAGCCAGCTTTAATCATGCATTAGCAGGTGCGCCGTGCGACACGGGCTGAGACAAGAAGGCGCCGGCCACGCATGTATAAGACTGAAAGATAGATGCTAAGTTACAAGAACTTTTCTCTGTATCTACAGGCACAGCGATTGAGGTATTTCTCACAGGCAGCATCACATCATGTCGGAAGGCAAACCAGTGCACGTAAGGTAACAGTCTTTATATGCTTCGTAACGATTTGCTCTTCTGTTCAAATAGTAGGTGACTTTAAGATAAGTGTAGACAGGTACATTGTGACTGGTGCTTTCTTATGTGTATGCAGCTTGACATATCCGAGCATGGTCGCATTAATTTTACTGCCATTTCCATGGACACCATCATGTCCTTCATGTAAAGGCTATTTTGAGGTGAAAGCTTTAAAGAAAGAGTACATCTTGTCAACGGAGTCTGTGAGAGTGTGGAGGGGGGGTGACAAAAAAAGGAAAAACCTCTTTTGTTTTGATTTTTTCTTTTATATCGGATTGATTACTTGCATTCCTTATTTATATTATCTATTGTCTCTACGTTTAATTATTTGATTCACATGTTTAATTTTGTCACACACTCACTGTATTTAATGTGATTTGTTTTATGTCATTACGTAACTTGTTTTGTTCGGCTACCTTGGAAGTCAGCTGTTCTAAACTAAAGGTAGTACCCAATGAATAAATAAAAATTGTGGTGTTGGCGTCAGCTGGGTGGTATTAGCATATGTTTCAGCGTATGTTTCCTACCGTCTTCGGTTCATCATCAGCTTTAATTAGTTATATAAAATCGATGCCTTATTAATGAAATCACCACAGTGGGGTGATTTGCAGTGGTCAGCAGCACTTTTTAATTTATGTGATGAAACACCGAAACATGCATGGAAACAATGCATTCATTACACATCTTGTTTTTAATTGTGATATTGTAATTTTACGAACTAAATTTGTAAAGTTCTTGAAGCAATTGAGATCTGCACCAAACAAATAATCCCTCAATATGATTTATAGATATTACCCTTAAGCACAAGAACCAGATTGCAAGCCATTATTCTTTGTACGCCAAAAACAGTTACTCAAGCAACTGGATATGATTTTGAAAACGTCAGACGTTTCAGCTAGTATCCACTAGCTTTCGTCAGTGACTGAGAGACCAGAGGGGAAAGCAGGTTTATAAGTACAACCTGTTGATTGAATGCAAATAAAGCGAAGACAAATTATTCTTTGTAGATTGATTAATTTTTGGCGTTCAATTGTTAAACATAATTTCGTTCCATCCTTTTACAGAGTTAATTCTGGCGACTCAGGAACATTGAATTGAAATAAATTTACGGGTGTTCCTTTGTGGTTACATCCTCTTTAAACGGCTTTAATAAGTTATCATCACCTTGGCGTCCTTTTTATTTCATCTAAAGCATTTATTTGGCCCCAAGTGTGTCTTTATGTCTTCTTTTATTTGTAAAAGTGGCATTTATTGCTCTTGACATATCACTTAGCTAGCGGCAAAAATAAAACAATATTGAAATGTTGAAGGGGTTGATAAAGATGTTGCACTTATTATTGTTATTTCTTCCGGAAGGTATGTATCTAGGGCGAGCAGGGGGTGTTTTTGTCATTTGCTCCGGACGAACATTTGCCACTAATTCTATCAGCTAATCACTCCCAGGGGACCTTACATCACGTGACTCGCCTCCTATTGGACCACCCCGTTCCCAACGCTGCCTAATATGGTGTTGTCACGTGACTGTGCCCATAAGAGGTAATTCATTATTCAGCAATATAAAGCTCCAGGGATGAGAGCCCATCTATACCTTTTGTAACAGGACACTTTGGCCGCCGCACCTAGCTGACTGTACCTCAGGCTTTTCTACCACGGCTACAAAACAACCTAGGTGAGCTCAGCTTTTTTACTCTAGTCTCCTAAAAAGCTTAACGTTTTAACATTCAGTTAACGTCCATGTCCAAGTTGTGTTTTTTTCATCTGATGTTGACATGTTTAAGGAGCTATGCTAGGAATAAGTGTGATATACCTCGCGTGGTGGCGTTGGCATTAAGATGATGGAAGCTAAAAGCGGAGTCTGATTCCCCACAGAACTGAACACAATCTACAGAGGCCGTTAGCGGGACATTTAGGGTAATTCTTCTCCCGCGTGTGGTCGTCTGGAGGCTTGCGATAGTGGGGCAATACTCTCGATTTGTAAGAGAAGAGAACGTAGAGACTTTCGCCTCATCCAGCTATGTTCCTTACCTGACTCCTCTGTCCTGAGTGATAGTCCCATCGGCGATTTCAAAGAAATGAAACACAGTCCTGGCCCAGCGCCATCTGAGTTTTAGTTCTCGCTAATGAACCTATCTTGCTGTGGTGGAAACAGTTTTTTTGTCATCCAGTGCCAAATAACATCTCTGGCTGCTAGTCTGTTCGTATTAGGAGTTGGAATTGGGAGCGTTACACCCCCTTAGGGAATGCTTACCTTAATTACCTTTCCAACTGCTCTTTTTGCTTGGCAATGAAAAGGTTAGATTGACTAGCAGTTCTTCTTTGTTGGGAGGGTTTTGAGACTTTTGCTGTTGAGACATCCCTTTTCAAGTCTTGTGATCAAAGAGTCACTGTGGTATTGAACGTTGTAAAGAAGGTATCAGTAGTCAAAGCATTTTTTTCATTATGTACGGGGTCAATGAAACGGCCAACGCCCAGGTGCTATTCATATTCAAATACAGGTCACGCTATATGAATTGCTCGTAAGGGGGCGTAGGAACCCTCTTTTTCGCAAATTGATTTGTTCACGGTGTCTCCGATCAGATTGCAGGCATGCAGCGGCGCGCCACAAATGCGCCGTCCCCCGTGCAAAGCCTCTGCACACCGAGGAGTAGGATTACTGCTGCGTACTGGCTTGATGGTTTCAGTTATTCCCGGCAGAACCGGGTGTACGATTCCCTACTGCTACACTATCGTCCAAACGTTCACGGCCGCATTAGGTTTAGCAGAAGAAAGCTGCGTCCAATTAACTAATCGAAATGTATGGTGCCGCGCATGAGATGAATCCAATCTATCGAACGCCAGCTCCGAACTTTTGAAAGCAATCATGGTGACATGTCGGGAGATGAGTTAACCAATAGGCACCTTAAAAGCACGCCAAGCAATTATTAGGAACACAGGCAGGCCTTATTCCATTAGCCGTTATTAGATTTGTGAGGTATGAACGCTGGCTTGTCAAATTTGACGAGACATACCGCCCCTTCCGCACGGAAAAATGGGCCAAAATGATGCCTGGATTTTCACAGACTGCACTGGTGACTACAAAGCAGGTTCTATGTTTTTCAGATCCATGCTACTGCAGCGTAATGGATAGGTAACATCATGGCGGCACATTGTCTATCATGGCAAATCCTTTCATACCTTTATTCTCTCGTACCGTATGAAAAGGCAGAATCGGGGTTGTGGTTTGGAGCTTTTAGTAGCACTCAAGTGGCAAATGATGGTCGTTAGCACGAGACAATGCCGCGACATAATGCGGAGAGAATAGAGATGCATCCTCACGTTCTGCCTGGCACGCAATTGGCCATTTACTGTCAGGGCTGATTTATTGAGTGAACACACCTAATTAACAACTGGCATCTACTCAAAAGACATGTGAAAACTCAACATCATCAACGCAAAGTATCATGATCACGGGAAATTGTGTTATTGGTGATCAAGAATGTAAATATATTTCAAACTTACAAATGCGTTTTATTTTATATTTATAATCGTAATAGCATTAAACGTTAACGTGAACAAACCACATGAATTTTGGTGGCGCTACTTTTAAATAATGCATTCCCTCCTGGAATATCTACGTCGCCATCTGATAGGATCATGATAAGCCGCCTGGCTGTGCATTCCGAAACGACGCGGAGTCATGTTGTTGTAACTCAGGTCATTCAAAAGGCAGAGGCTTTAGACGGCAAATCTGAAAAAAAGGGTATTCTGTGAAAACTGCCATTGAGTGGATTATAGATATTCCTGAATAAGCAGGTTAAGAAAAGGTAACCCAATTATCATGTAGAGTGTGAGCTAAAGAGTACAAGTGAAGGACACTGAAGTAGATTCTGTTCAATAACGCCACTTTCAACGACCACAATTTCTTCTGGCCTGTCAGTTGTAAAAACGATGCACTCAGAAACAGCGATAGCACTTCACCTACAAGGCATACAAGTGTATCTCCGACTCAAATGTCCTCCCTCGAGTGAACTATTTCTTGGATTCTTTCCCTCTCCGCAACCGACAAACATTCTTATCTTCGGCATCATCCAAACATTACCTGCCGTCGAGTCGACAATGATGAATTGTGTACCATCCTGAAAGGATGAGATAAGATGGCCAGGGCTTTTGAACTCATGTGACTGCTCATGGCGTGGCTTAGGTTATCGTAACATGCAGCCTTTCGGGGGCGTGGCATCTTTCTCCAAAATGACGAGGTCGACATCCTCTATGCAGTATACATGTTACCGCTGAAATCGAAATACATGATTTTAATTTAGGCCACACCAAGTAAATTTTATGGATGACGTCCGCGCGCGCATTGATTTTGGCCTGTTCCTAGAAAAAAAACAAGAAATTCCGCTTCCTGTAACTATGACCAAAGAGTCACGACAGTGCCGCAAATCGTTAGATTGACGTGAACCCCGTAAGGCAAAATGGGTAAAGAGCACATGCTTTGTTTCTGCAGGCCTGCAAAAATGTGATGAAAGAAACAGGACAGGACGATAACTGCTGTTCCACCTGATTTATTGCTGTTTTGATGATGAATAAGACTTTTTGCTTGTTACACTGTGTCACCTCATTCTGTGTCCTAACATTTGTTGTCTCTTAGTATATTTCTAATCTAGGCATCTTGTTTTTTAGGGCCCTTCTTGTTTTTTTTTTGCCCTCTCGCATTAGATTTAGGGTCTCCAAAGGACGTCATCCATAAAATTTACTTGGTGTGGCCTTATAGTATATCGGTAATATGTTTGGTGTTCAATGATTTGTGTTTTCTGTAATTGCATGAAAGTGTAAAATTTATTGTTGTTTTAATAACTGATTGGGTTTTTTTGCGTGCAAAATGGGCAGACATTGCCGCGCTGGTGGCCCACTGCGGATAGCCAAATGAGTTCTGAGCAGGCGAATTGCCCACAAAAATCAATCGTTCTCTTGGGATTGGATAAGAGGGAGCAGGTGTGCTCTACACAATGGGTGTGGTCTGAAAATATTCCCTTCGATTTTCATTACTAATTGTACTGGTTACCCACCAATAAGCGAATCCCTTTACCACAGTATTCAGTAAAGTATCACGAACGAAGACGGTGGCCTCGGAGAGCAACATTTTGGTACTAGGGATACTTTAGAATTGTAAGCCTAGTTTAGGGAATATCATAAATTCTTAATCACATTCAAATGATATTTGACATTTTATTTGCTGCTGAGGGAGCAAATAATATTTCACGCAGACAGAAGGTCGAGGACAACTGCGATATGACATTTTTTGATGACGATGATATTACAAATATAATTGTCAGCTAACGTTTTACCTCAACGGTGACGTTAGCCGATCGATCTCATTTAAGTATTCATCAAGCTACTCTGACATTTCGCTTGTCTTTACGTAATAAAATCCGTCACAATTGACATTTATCATTGGAGCTTCCTGGATTCATGGTCTCGACCTTGATTATTGCGAAAGGCTATTGGTAAAATATGTTAAATGTTAAAATAGTCTTACGTCATTTCTGTAAACTCAGCGGACCTTGTATTCACGGCTTTATCTTTTCCCATAGAGTCCAGTAACTGATGAAATGATTGATTGATTGATTGATTGATTGATTGATTGATCGTTTGCTTCCATGATTCATCATAATTTGACTATTATCATTATACATCCAGGACATGCGTTATCGGGAACTGTCTTGTGCTCTTCAACGTTTTGCAGAGCATAGCCAGATCACACGTCGTTTCAACCAACGACAGTAACATTCAATTTGGCGTATTGGGCTACAAGAACTAACTTGTATAACTGTGCCTAACGTAAGACAACTTTATAAAACATAAAAGCTACCGAGAGCCGTATGATGACCGGTTATCAACCCAGACTTTGAGGCTTAAAACTGCCTGATAACTTAAAGAGTGCGTATCTTTAACAAAATGAACCCGAAGCTAATATTATGATCCCTTCATCTGAAGGCCGCATTTGTCCCGAGGCTGTTTGATAGAGTACATCTTTTATCTGAATACCACCCTAACTGTCTATGACGGGTTATATCTGATTAGCTTTAGGCATGGACATCGTGATATTACATCGCTAACTTGAAGGGATTCTAATTGCTTACGGTATACGCAGAGATAATGAAGAATAAATAACAACCATATTGTTCTCCGTTGATGTTCTGAAGAAGCCCTCTTGGTACACACAATCTACGGTGCAAATTCCCTACCGATGATTTATTGCACATTATCAAAATCTTATTATGGAGAAGCAATAACCTAAAGGCAGTCATCGCTCTGTAAGGGGAACGGTATAAATGATTAATAGACTTCATTGTTTGTTCATTTCAAAGGACATTTCGTTGATGGCATTAACCGTACCTAGGTACTGAAAGACCATAAAAAGCGAGATGCGTTTTCACATACTCATTTGTGTGTAAATTATAATGATTGGATATATGATCATAAATCAACATTCCTCGAGCAATTCAATTATGACTATAGCCCAATAAAATTGTGTAGGAAATTATACTTGATCTGTATGTTCCTCCTATCTTTCCTGAGAAACTCAGGATCCAGCTACATCTTAAGACATATTTTGTATCCGTCAGTTCTGTAACAATGAGTCTCTGAGGGTAAATTCAGGTAGCAATTTCCGCCTTGTCATCATTA